ACTACTATTAAACTAATTCGGGAGGGGTTGATTTATCGAGTAGGCCGAGATAATACAATCAGGGTGTGGAACAATAAATGGATGCTAACAGGGTCAAGAAGTAGACGTGTTTCACGCGTGATTACACATTTGGAGGATATTATGTCGACTCTATTATGAGAGAGGATAGTGGCCCGGCAATTCGGACCATAACATTTTAATAGGTTTATTAAACATGGAAGACCAACAAGTGATCATGTGTAAGTATTCCAATGCAAGGAAGCCGGCGGAGTAATGAATTACTATGGGAGGATGACACAAAAGGAAATAACACAATGTGTAGTTGATATTGGACTTTGATAGAGCGAAACCTTCATTTTTTGACCCGGGCTCATATGTGGATACCTATTTGCTAGTTATAAAGCTCAAGTCCATTGAGAATGACACGGGGGGGGGGGAGTTCTATAGAGGGTTGAAAGTTTCTCTCACTAGAATGACACGGTGATCGGAGCCGCCGTACGGGGTGGCCTCGGGAAGGATCGCAGGTTACAATATGGGGTCAACCCATTTATTTTTGGAAAATCTCACCGGAAGTTGCTTTAGCCAACATTGAAGACGACTAGTAACCATGAGTGTCTACCCTTGAAAAGGGGGGCTGGAACAATGGTGAACGTGTTAGCCTTGGAGTTCTTGCGTCTCGAAGGAGGAGGCGGAAGTTCACATATTTGAACCAAAATCAGTGGTTCTACGCTTCGTATGGAGGTGTTCAACATAGGTTTTGTCCCAATGAAAAAGATTTTTCTCGGTCTCATTTTTAGAGAAGGTTTTCTCACCTCCATTTTCTTGGTTTGGACTGCCCGGGGTCGCTCCGGTGACCCTAGATGGCTGTCTCTCCTATGTTTACACTTCTACCGTTGTTGGCTTACCTTTTCCGCCTGGTTTTTTACGAGGACTACCTTCTTAGGCTAGCCATGCAAAAAATTTAGATCAAGACTCATCATGGTAGACCTACATATGAGTAGCCATGGTGAATTGGAGCTAGTCAGACCAAGGCTCGGGCTGTTTGAAGCTCTGACAGATGTTCATCATCCGAGGCAAAAGCCTCCGACGCTCACAGCACCTATCACACGTCGGTGAACACGAGACTGGATTGGTTGTATAGGGGTGCTACAAAATTCGGTTTTAGCTCCCTAGTCGTTTGATGCTGCTTAAGGGGTCCGAGGAGCCACGTATGCTTGATGACAACAAAATGTAGGATTAACCAGAGTTTGTTGGTCTATAGTGATTTTTTCAGTTAGTATCTTATTTTAAGACACTGGACTTTTATGTGCTTGGAGTTTGTGGATTTTGACTTTGGACAACGGTCGGATTATTCTTCGGAGAAGACGAGTGGGCCACCTAAAGCAGGGGCGTAGCCAGGAACGAAGCTTGGGGTGGGCTAGTATAAAAAAAATATGGCAAATTTTTACACATATATTTTTACACTAAAATACCAATTATTTTTAAACTTGGAATGGTCTGGGGCGCGATTAGTCCCTGTACCTCGACCCTTGACCAAGAGTTGGAACCGCTCGTCGTTACTTTATTTCCGCCTGCCTCTATTTTCTCTCTCCTATTTCCGGTAGCTGGTACTTTTTCGGTGACACCGAGACCAGATGAGGTGGGGGTGGAGTTTTGATCGACAGTTGTCTCGTCGGGTTCAAATTCGAGATTGTCACCTCTTCATTGTGGCATAGATGGAAAAAGAATTGATGGGTTGAGGTTTGGGTTGACCCGAATTCGATTCTGAAGGAAACCCTATCCTGGTATCTGCTTGAATGACGGGCTCGCTTCGGCTACCAGACATCTGGGCCCCTCGAATTACTTAGACACAAAAGGAGGGATGCAATTTCATAAGTAAGGAACCCTAGATGCTTGGATGTTGCTCTTTAGACTTATATTTGCACTGGAGCTGAGGCTTTCAATTCACTAGCTCACGGCCCATAACTTGAGCAAGATTGGAAAACGATGTAGGCAGCGGTGGAGGGGATTCATGGGCGTCCAACAGGACCAGCAGACGAGGGCATGAGCAGTTTGGAACTGCCCGAGAGAGTCAACCTTGCAAAATAGCGTCCCCCGGTGCTACTGGATTCAGCCATGGAGATGGTGGGTGGCTGGAACTGTGGCTGTAGGCTCCGGATCGTCGGCGTCCAGGCTAAGATGGGTGGGACTCAGGAAGACAGTGGTCAGACTCTTAGAACACCGAAGCTATCTGGGAACTTGGTTGCTTGTCCGTAAAGGATAACAGCGCCGTAGTATGGGAGACGAAGGTGTCAGACAGTGGCGTGTCTACCACACTCAGCGAAGGAGGTTCAATCACCGACGTAGAGATGGCGGCAGTGACGGTCGAAGAGGCGGCAACGATAGTGTTATGGGAAGACATTGGGCCGGAATTGTTTTTGCTAAAACTCTACCAATGTGGTAGTCGTGGATGTCATATACTCCCTCCGTCCCGAAAACAACTTCCCACTTTCCTTAAATGGATGTCCCAAAATTAACTTCACACTTCAATACTTTCCTTATTTGGCAAATTATCTACATCAAAAAAGTGATAAACAGTGCCAAACAGTGTTTAAACAGTGCCAAACAGTGTTTAAACAGTGTCAAACAGTATTTAAATAGTGCAAAACAGTGCATTCTGCAGTAAAGTCAAATTTATTTCCTAAAAGTGTGTGAAAGTCCAACCGGGAAGTTGTTTTCGGGACGGAGGGAGTATATAATAAGAGCAAATCCGATGGTCCCTTTTGAGGACTTGCTCGCAAATTTAAATATAATAGCTTACCATTGGAGCATCGTTTTTCCTTTTGCTTGAGAAAACTAATTAGCCTAAATGAGCAACAAGTTTGAGCAAAGAGATTTGTTAAATATAACATAATTATTAATAATAAATGAAAAGGAAGATGTTATAGCTAACCATTGGAGTACATTTTAATTTTGCTCCAAATGCTTATGTGATTAGTCAAAGCTATGAGAGTAATTAGCTCACCATTGGAGGTAGGCCTGTCAATGGGTCAGGTCTAGACCCGGAGCCGATCCGAATCCGGCACTTTATTTGAGGGTATGGGTCTAAAATTGGAACCGTTTCCCGGATCCGGATCCGAACCCGTTAAATGATAGAGAAAATGCGTCGGATATGGATTTTAACGTTCCGGCCCGTTTTGGACCCGACCCGTGATGATATAGTTATAGTTGTATTTTTTTTACATATACACACACAATATACATTGAAATATTTAAACATAAAATAAGGAAAATAATCAAAAAAAAAAATTTAATAGTTGTAGGCTTAGTTGGTGGTTGGCCCACTATAATGCAATGAGATTTTCGCTAATGAGTTACTGCTATAGGTTCTCTATGAGTTCACTAATATACATATAACATACTCCGTATATTATTGTATAGCTCATACGGAGTAATGGACAGAACAACATTTTGCTTATTTATATATGATATCTTCAAACATGAACATTTTTTGTTATATATTATATTTGTTTGTATATGTCATTTAGTTTTTTTTGCGGGTATACCCGGCCCGGATCCGAGACCCGGCCGATCCAAATCTGGAACATATGTTTAGGACCCGAAGGGTAAATGGGTCCGGATATGGACCAAAAAAATTTAAACGGATATGGATATGGAATTTATAGTTCCGGACCGTATCCGACCCGTGGACATGCCTAATTGGAGGGGAAATATTAGATAATATTTTTGATTAGTTTAGACTAGCTTAGCTAGTTTTTGATTCATTTGATGCATTGTATTATGTTAATCTTTTTTTATGTGATATATAGCTTTACATTTTACCCCAAAAAATAAGAAATTCCACAAATAAATGTCAAAATTGCTATCCTTAATGGAAAACTCAAGGAGGAGGTGTACACGGTACAACATGAAGGTTTTGTATCCAAGTCACCAAATTCTAAATCAGTATGTAAATTGGAGAAATCGAGTTATGGGTTAAAACAAGCCTCCAGGAGTTGAAATATCAATTTAATTTTAATCAAACAGTCAACTTGTTTGATTTCAATAGAAGAAAATACATGTATGTTATCATGTTTTGATAACAAATTGCAACTAGCAAGAGGTGAAGTTGCAATCGAACGTGTTCCCGTCGATAACAATTTGGCTGACTCTTTAACGAAACTGTTGAAATGTGAGAAACACGCCAGCCTTTTGGTTAGATCAGTGACTTCCTCAAAGAACTACCCCTTCTATCGTAAACCGAAATGCTTGGGGTTAGATCGATTTTGGTCAGGTTCGATTCTATTCTGTTTAACCTTGGCCGGCTCGATTTTGATCGATTTATTGACCTATTTTGATTTATTGATCTTTTTAGTAAAATCCTACCATATATAATCCATTAGCCCCCTTAGGATGTTTTCTTTTGGACTATTTTCAGTTCCAGACCAGACCAAATTAGACTACACTTAAACAGACCATACCATATCTGACTGAAACATACCAGATTTGAACTGTTATAACAAAATACATAGAGATCAGACATTTACCAGACTAGACCAGACCTGTTCAGACTAGATCAGATCTGACGAACAAATTTCATTCTCCTGTTTGACTTTTAGGAGAGGATTTTTCCATTTGCTCCCATGCTCATCTTTCACTATTATTATTTGATTTGAAATGCGTAGTGTATATGATTAAGTAATGAAGCCTTTAATCAATTATTTTCAACATAGATAGTTAAACTAATGGTTAAACCGTACAATATGTAATATTTTAATACGGAGTATTATGCTTACACAGGCAACCTTGAAAATTAATAATTTCGACTCGAAAACCTAAAATTGGAACATTAATAGGAATGGTCAATAAATACAATGGAAATATAGCACTTATCACATGCGTCACATCTTGGTGAATTTTTTTGTTTCTTATCCATATTTTTTTCAGTGATGTTACACCAGAGAAGCTTGGGACAAAAGAGTTAAACTCAAGGGGGTCTCATACCACAACCATACATATTTATTTATTCAAAATGGGAAATTAAATAAAAAGTGATTAAATACAGAAAGCTAGATGGCCTTTCTCCTCTTCATTCTTCAATCTGATCTCTACCCTTTTGGTGTTTGAGTGATACCCCACTTTCTCTTTTATTCACACATATCCCTCATTAGCTTTCTGTTGGAGATCATAGCTGCACAGACCCATCCACCCTGACATGCTAAGCTATATCAGATCAGAACAGCTTCTATCTCAGGCCTTTCCAAGTTTCTTTCAACTGAAAGATCAGCCATATGTATATGTATATTCACCCACTTCAATTCGCATCTAGATTGACTGGACATGTATATGTATGTATATATTCTCTTTCTCTCTCCTTTTCTTGATTTTCTTTGACTTCTTTTTACACTTAGATATATGTATGTGTCTTGTTAATCCAAACCCATCCTTTGATGTTTATTGCTTTTGATTATGTCACTGAATTGAAAGAGCTATTTGTTTATTGAGATACCCATGATTCAATTAACATGACTTATTTTATTCACTTCCAACTTTATCTCAGGTTTGGCCAGCAGTGGAAGAAGGAAGGAATTAGGGGATTTTATAATTCCTGATATATAAACGAGCATATATTTAAGAAAGACAAAAAAGATTGAATTTTTTTAAATTTAAGGGTATCTTTTTTTTATTTGGTCGGAGTGATTATATAAAAATACAATCTTGGATATGTACTACCAAGGAGGCTCAGAAATCCAAGGTGATGGCCTGCAGACACTGTATCTCATGAACCCTAACTATATTGGGTACTCTGACAACGCACTACATGCCCCGCCGCCGCCGCAAGCTCAGCCGCCGTCAGCCATGATGTTCTTGAACTCCGGACACGCGCTCAATGGCGGAGGTATGCCTCACGCGCGGGTTTCCCAATCCCAGCACTTTGTCGGCGTGCCCCTCCAGCCTACGGGTCAACTACATCACGATCCGAACCGGAATATGTGGACCGCCGTGGAGCAGTCTCAACTACCCTCCGCCGGCGGCACCACCGACTTCGCCTCCCAGCTGGGGTTCCACCGGTCCGGTCATCAACAAGGGTTGTCTTTGAGCTTATCTCCCCAACACCACCACCAGCATCAACAACAGCAGCAGCAACAACAACAGACTTTTCGGTCTCTCCCGGTGGAATCTCCGGTGGGTCTTTTATCGGCACGACCCGCAGCCGAGAGTTTTCGAGACTCCGGCGCGTCGTCGTCCTCGATAATAATGGGCTCGAAGTATCTGAAAGCGGCGCAGGAGCTTCTCCATGAGGTAGTGAATGTTGAGAAGAGCGGTTTAGATGAGTCGGCGGCGGCGCATAAAGAAAGGGTGAGGATGAATAGAGAATCAATGTCCACTTGCGGCGGAGATCCGGCGACAACTATTGGTGGAGAAAACAGGACGGCGGCTGAGTTAAGTCCTGGTCATAGACAGGAACTCCAGATGAAAAAGGCTAAGCTTCTTAGCATGCTTGATGAGGTAATGTACAGTTTGAACTCCTAGTTGTTAGTTACTTTTACCATATCTTTGAAAATTGACTGCCATCTTTCCTTATACAAATAAGTAAAAACTATTTGTCACTTCCATTTTTAAGATAAAAACACTTGTGGGATTTATTGTACCTCTCTGTAAATTTGAATAGTAAAATAAAATACTCCGTAGTTTATGCAAGTACAAGTCAAATTTGGGAAACTTTTATTCACTTACAAGTCAAATTTGGCAAACCTAACTAGGAGAGAGAGTGAGTTGTAATTTCTTTTTCTAGTGCTTCCTTTTTACCATGCAAAAAGATTTTCATTTTACACTTTTTTTATTTTGGTCCCACTTGAGTCAAAAGTTTCTCCCATAAACCCCTTTATTTTCTTATCACAATCATGTGTACCACTCGTTCTAGTGCACTAGTACGCGGTAAGTTATATGGTACGAATATTAAATAAAATGGAAAAAGTTATTTATAGTAGGAATTTAGATGAGTAAGACTAGAATTAACTAGTATTTTAGTTTAATGATGTTTCTCTACAAAAGAATCATAAAAAATGGTATTCTTGTTTTTGTAATATTTTTATTCTCTTTGTACGTTCCTCAGCTCTTTCTTAAGCAATGACCTTAAAATAAATCAAGAGGGTAATCAATCAATTTCTTATTTGGAAATGAGATTAGGAAGTGATTATTGGTTAATTATAAGGAGTATGAACATAATAAATATCGAATTTTGAAGCGTGGAGGTGGATATTTCCAACTGGCACTCATTTATGTTTGAATTGTATGAGCGATGTGCAAAAAGTTTAGCCATAAGTTTTTCTGATGCGGGTCCGACCCGACAAAAAAAGGCTAAGATAAAGAAGGTAGCTACGTCTCAGTGTTTACATGTGTGTGTACTAGGTACGATTTTTTGTTTTATTATTATTGATCTAGCTTTACGAAATTAAAATCATGATGGGGTTTCTATAATTGGTTTGAATTTGGAAAAGAATCTTTATATTGGACTAAAATAGAATAAAGAGGATCAGTGTTACAAAAAAACGCGGTTTGACAGAAATGTTTGGTAGGAATTTGGCAAAATTTATAAAGGATTTACCAAAAAAGCTATTTGGCGCAAAATCAATGGTAAATTCTTGCTAGAGCATGTTAACATTCATGGAGTAAATTTAGTGGTATGTCAATGTATCCCTTATAGATCGAGCATGTTAACGTGATGAAATGTGAAGATTTTTCTCATATAAACCGATAAAATCTACCCGTCTTCATGTCAATGTGCTAGGCATGTTGATGTGCTTAGTTGCTTACTATGGGGTGTTTGGAACTAATTCTGTTTCTGCTTCTTTTTTAAAGAAGAAGCAGAATCAGAATTAGTTTTCATAAGTTGCTGGTCTCCCCAACTTTTTAAAGAACTAATTCTAGAAGTAAATTAGAGCATCAGAATCACTCTTCTGCACTTTCACCCAAACACTCTTTCAAAAGCAGTTTTAAGAATCAAATCCAAACACCACCTATATCTTTCATTTATCCACACATATTTATTAAAATTTACCCCAATTTTCATACTCCGTAAGTTTTTTCTAAAAGAAAATACCGTAGTACATTCTGCCGTTTTTTTAGAATATTCTTCCAAACTAAATATAATATCTGCTCATGTTAATGCAAACATCCTTGACTAGGATGAGATTCGAACAACAAACGTGCAATATTTAGTTTTACTCATTAGCAATTTCTTTATAAAAAAAAATTACAGGTGGAGCAGAGAGACAGGCAATACAACCACCAAATGCAAGTAATGGTGGCCTCATTTGAGCAGGCAGCTGGATTGGGGTCAGCAAAAGCCTACACTCAGTTGGCATTGAAGACGATATCGAAGCAGTTCAGGAGCCTCAAACTAGGGATTGCTGCCCAGATAAAGGCGGCCGTGAAGAGCCTCGGGGAAGAATGCGGCGGGGAACAAGCGGGCGGGTTGTTGCTCGGAGGAGCGTCGTCGTCGAGGTTGTTGAGGTTCGGGGGCGAGCAGCGTGCGGGGGCGCTTCCGCCACACTTCGGGATGGTGCAGCCCAACGCATGGAGGCCCCAGCGGGGCCTTCCTGAGCGAGCTGTCTCCGTCCTTCGCGCTTGGCTCTTTGAACACTTTCTCCATCCGTAAGTCTTTCTTTTTTTGGAGTTTAGTTTTTATACATCACAAATAATTGAAGTCAGTTTTGGTACATTTTATTTAATTTTGATACGTTTTATGCATGCATTATAGAACTAAATAGGAGTCCACATTGTTTTTGTGTTCCCTCTCATTTTTCCCTTTTCCACCAATTAAATGATTGATTAAATTTGTTTTTTGGCTTCTTAAATATAACACCTTTTCTTGCTAGCTTGTCCTTAGTTTTTAATGCGTAGTATAAAGAAGATTCAATATAATTACTCGACTCTAAAACCCCTTTTAAGCTTTTATAACCTTTTAAGTAAAAAAAGTATCTTAGAACTAAACGAAACTAATTTAGTAGTATTTACATTCTTGGCTACACGAGTCATAATTATCATCATATTTTAATCTTAAGTAAAAACTACAAATATATAACAACCTAGTTCGGACTGATCATGACTAGCCCGCTGGTCATAGTTGACGTCCATATTAAAGGCCAGGGTTAAGTTTGATTTTCGAAGGATAACATTATCAGACTTACAAACTTTAAAACTTATTATTGCTTTCGATTATTCAATTCATTGGAACGATTAAAATGAGATTATGAGGCTATACAAAACATAAGAGAAAAATTGACTAACCATAACTACAGTTCTCTAAAATAACATAATTTCTCAAATATGATTATTGTTTTTTTATACTCCGTATATATCAAAATCTGACCTACTCCCTCGTAAAAAGATAAGATCCATAGTAAATGGCTACTATATGCTCTTCTTTCGGACTAAATTACTTCTATTTTAAATAAAACATAAATTGACTACGTCTACGAAGTATTACTTGAGCAATTACCGAAAAGTTAAAGTTGATTCTTCATTTCTTTGATACGAGTATAAATTCATATAACAACTTAACATTACAAAATAATTATGGGATTGCCATAGATTGATCGATAATTTTTTGTCAAAATATTTTTGTTACGAATTTCACAAATCCTTTTGAAATCCTCTAAAAAGTTTGGAGATTTCCTTTCACAAATCTGTGTCAATATTAGAAATCACATTAATTGTTACAACAACAAGCATTAAAAGAGATAAATGCGTACGAATTAGACACAACAAAAACTAGCTACGGATTCGATCTGTATATGCTACATCAGTTATTCATGATGTATATCCTCTTTGTTTGTTTATATCCATACAAAAGTAACTATCATCATCATATCATACCCTAAAAGTGGAAGATGTCATCATTTCTATTGCAGTTATCCCAAAGATTCGGACAAAATCATGCTTGCTAAGCAAACCGGACTTACCAGAAGCCAGGTTTGTTCTCAAACGTTACCCTCAGCTCCGTAATTCCGTAGTTGTCAATAATTCGGTAGTCCCTTATAATTGGTACCAGATGTCCTACACAATGACGTCCGTCCGTTTAGATCTCTTATAGCCTCCACAATTTAGGACGGATCCAAAGAGGAGATGCTTGTGGTAGCCCCCCACAGCCTCATATGGTAGGCTAGTATTATATGGAGTATACTTTCTCCATTTTATTTATGTACAAAAATATAATTCACTATAAGTAAATATTATAAAAGATTTCCACGAGTTTCAAGTGAAGATTATTAAGACATACTCTGTATATAATACGGAGTAAGTGAGTGTATACAATACTCCCATGCGGTAAATTAATCAAATATTGAAAGTAGAGTACTAAAATACAACAAAGCCTCCCTTCAAAAAAAAATACCACAAAGCCCAACCATTGCAACTAATACAAAACAGAACTAGTATCTACATATATATGGAGTACTACACACACTCACACTCACACACATATTTGTATTAGCGCAAACCGTTCCTCCCGTAAAATGCAAATCGTTCACTTTTTTCATGGTATGATGCACTATTCGGTTTCTAGTTCCACTTTTTCGCATTGATAGAAAAAATTGATTTATATTATCAAAATGATACCACATCTTTTTAATTTGGCATACCTCACATTAAAGTGAAACAGACCACCCTTAAAGTGAATCACATTGACAAAAAAAGTAAAGGTCTACAATTTTCAGGCTAAAAGTAGTTGTATTTTGACCTAAAATGTGTTAGTGCAATAGTGCATATGTTCTTATTTACTACGTAGATGTTATGGTTTCCCGTTCACATTGTCCCATGTATGACATTGACCAAATTTTAAATGACACGTATTATGATTTTAATGCATAAGGGAAATGTACATGCATAATAATAACGAAAAGTCAAAACATTCCAATTGTTAAAGAAAATTGAGATCATCATTTGTGAAATTCTACTATTCCTTAAAGCATTGTAGCCATTGACCAATTAACATATTAGAAACAGACAAACATAAACATAAATACTATGTGATTGAAATAATGCAATAGATCAATTGCATGTATCAATTCAGTAAGGTACATGAGATATGTAGCATTCATCTTATAATTTGGGGAAATTCATTAACTAAAGTGAGGTCCAATGAATTTAAACATGTAGGTGTCAAATTGGTTCATAAATGCACGAGTTAGACTTTGGAAGCCAATGGTGGAAGAAATGTACACCGAAGAAATGAAAGGCCAAGATCAACAACCACTAAATGGCAAAGAAGAAATTAATAAGGCAACAAAAAGAAACCAAGCTAGCAAAGATATTAATGCCGGCGGCGGCGGCCCTGCCGGAAAGCCATCAACAAATAAAAGTACTGATCAAGATCCTCATCACCATCATACTTCTCCTACTGCTGACATCAAGAATAGCACCAACAGTATGTCCTCCCCTTGCGGCGGCGTTCAACCACCGCAAGGCTGCGGTGGCGCTTTCTCCTTCATGAACATGGAAAACAACTCATCCGCTGAGATCATAAGGAACGGGAAAAAGCCGAGAAACGACCTTCAAAGCTCCCCGCGGAGTAGTATCGTTTCGGTCGACATGGACGAAATGAACTCACCCTCGGCCGCGGCTGCCAGCAGAGGGTACAACCACAAGTTCACCACGGACAGACAAACGTCCGCCCCCGGGAACTACCCTGACTTGCTAGCGGCCGCCGCGAACACGAGCGGTTTCGGGGGTTTCTCGATGGCAGACTTCGGCCGGCCGTTTAGCCCCGAGAATTTGGCTGCTGGGTTTCATGGGAATAATGGCAGTGTTTCACTCACTCTTGGCTTGCCACCATCTGAGAACCAGCAGAGTTACCTTTCTAACCCCCAAGACATGGACTTGGGGAGGAGACTAGAGATGGGCAGAATGGGAATGAACAATAACAGCAACAACCCTCAATCTTCTTCACACTCCAATATCAATGGAAGCTATGAAACCATAGACTTTGAAAATGCTGGGAAGCGCTTTGCTGCTCAACTATTACCAGATTTTGTAGCATGAGATCACCAGAAAGGTTGCTTTGCAGAGATGGTCAAAGTCAAACTCAAGATATATGCAGGGGTATAATGGACACAACTCAAGTTATAGTATATATTTATTTTTTTATTATATATTGTTGGAAGCATTTTCAGCCTTGTATGTATCATATTATCATGCACTGTAAAAACGTACCTAAAGGATCGCTGTAACTTCTCAGCTCCTTTGACTTTGTGCGTGGCTAACATGCATGAATGAAGGGCAAATACGAGATTTGCGACCTATGGTTAGTGTAAGATATATAGGTTCAAGTAATACTCTTCTTTTGATTAGTATATAGCTTACACTTTGCCTTATTTGTGAAACATACAGCAATTAATGATATGTAGATTCATTGAAATATAGATTGGAATTGGGTATTTGTTTATTGTTAAACGTATACATAATTGAGAATGAACAAATCTTTTGTGTGTTTTCTAAAATGTGGAATATGATTTATGTTTTTTCATATTCCTAATAATATGATGTCAGATAGCATGTATTCATATCAAGTCGAGTTTTTTATTCCAGAATTGCCTTGTCATATATTATCTGTTATTTAATAGTTACAACAACTTGACTTTCACGTTTGTTAACACACAACCAGGGGCGGCCCTAGGGGGATGCAACAGGGGCGACCGCCCTAGGCCCAAGAAAATAGGGGGAAAAAATAGGCCCAAAAATATTTCTTTGTATGTAGTGTGAGTAGGCTTTTTTTATTTTTTATTTTTAAACTCAATTAATTGGTTCAAGGTTTAATTTTTAAAATAAATGTAAAATGACACGTCTCTTAATACTCTTCGGATCTCTTAGTTTTATAATCCTTTTAATTATAAAATTACAAGTTATGTTAGACCTCCCAAGTCCAAAACTCCCATCGCAAAGTACATTGAAATTGATTTGTTATTTCCAAATTTCAATATCAACAAGAGTAAAGAACGGTGCAAGCGGTGAGTGCCTCAACGGTTTGTTAAGAATTGAAACCAATCAATCGAGGAGCCCAAATGGCGGTCGGTGACAAAAAAACTTATTCTTTCAAGGCTTCAAACAATCCATCCGTGATCAATAAATTATTCTTGATAAAATTGGTGAATTGAATCAGGTTGGGATAAAGAGAGAAAGAGAAGAAGATTAGAAAAGACAGGGTTAAGTTAGAAGAGATCAATGGAAAATTTTGTTTTTGTTAAAAAATTGAACCTTGAAAATTCCGTGAGAAACATTTTTAGTAATTTTTTTCTTTTTATGTGATACTTGTGTTGTTATTTTTCACCAAATATATAATTTAAATAATAATAATAATAATAATATGAGTTTTGTTTTTATTTAATGACCTTATTAGATAATTTTATTATAATTATTATTTTAAATAAATATAATTTATTATTTTTCTTGAATATAAGCCCAAAACGTTATCTCGCTCATAGGCCCGAAAATAGACAGGACCGGCCTTGCACACAACTTTTACTGTAATTATATTTAGTTGTGTATTACTCCGTAGTAAACACTATAAGAAGTTAATATTCTGGAATTCATTTTGATAGAAATTTAATACTCCATCCGTTTTGGACAATTCAGTTTACGATGTTTGACCGACGATAAAACAAACAAATCTTTGTCCGCACTCAAATTATTTTTAGAAAAAAAAATTATGGAGTACATATTTAGAAACTACATAAAAAGCTTTACAGAGTCGAAAAACCAGAACCAAATTTGATACAAATTTGATATATTATCGTATAAAGTAAGAGATTAAGAGTGATTTGTGTTGACCAAGTGAATAGTGCTTGGGACAATCTTAGCGGGACGGAGGGAGTAACATTTTGTAAATAATAATCTAATTTTAATTATATATAGTATAAAATTGTGGCCAAAGTAAGGTGTGCCAATATTGCAAAAATCACAATGTTGCAATTATTAAAGAACGGATAAAATATTAGGAAACAGATCGACACGCATTGCATACTCATTTATCGAGAATTATCATGAATTTTATTCCTATATAGGTATTTTCCCTGTATAATTAATTTCTCTATTTATACAAAATGTGTCTTAATGATGAAATGAAAACCTAAATGGTAAATTTAAACCTTAAATGTACAAATAGAACAACTTTCAAAAAAGAAATGTACAAATAGAATGATGTTCTTTATCTTTCTAAAATAAGAGTAAAGTATATTATATCTTATTATTTATTCTACCTTATCATCATAACTTAATAAGAAAGACCCATTTTTAAATTTTTGTTAAAAAGCATAAAAATACTCCCTTCGTCCCATTTTACATGTCTTACTTTCCTTTTTGGAAAGTCCCAAAATAAGTGTCTCATTTCCCTTTTTGGAAAAAAATATGTTGTTTACAATATTTCACTTTATTATACACTAATCTCAACCACAACTTTTACCTTTTTAACCATTTTATTAATAACTGTGCCAAACACAAATGAGGCACATAAAATGGGACAGGGGGTACTACAAAATATATTTATTAATACAATCTTAAAAAAATAAAAAATAAAAAAGTATTTTAGAAAAATTAAATTTTTATTGAGAAAATTAAGCTTAAAAATATAAATTAAAAATAGATAAAACACATAAAAATAGAAAAAAATGGATGCCTTTTGGGCTGCTTCTCCCACCTAACACCATCACCTTTGATCGGCGGCAAACATTTCATCTGGTGTAAAAAATGTCATTTTTTCTAAAACTGCCATCAAGATAGCATTATTGATGCATGTTGGCATTTTTCCAATGGTCGGAGTCAGTAATGATGGGAGGTGACAGAGGTGGCAACAAACACTTGTATAATATTTTTCATTTTGTATTTATTATTTTAATTTTTTAAGTTTTTATTTTTTTATAAATCTTTATTTGCCTAATTTTTATTTGTATTAATTAAAAAAATCGTGTTTTTTAATTTTTTTTTACAACTTTGTTACTTTTATTTTTTAATTTAATAAAAATCTTGATTTTTATTTGAATTGTAGTAAAATATAGCTAGAGTAGGATTGAGAGTTACTCCTACTAATATATAGGGAATTTAAAATTTATACTCCCATTCTAGCAATCAATTTCTTCATAATCACTCTACTGTTAATACTAAAATGACTACAATTGTTTTTTTTGTTTTTAAATATAATTTTGTAAATCTTTATAAACCTATTATAACATCTGTGGCTTCCTCTTTGAGAGATCGACAATACTACCATCAAAATGAATACAAATGTTATGTACATCAATTTACAATTATATCAATGCACTCTCAGAGATCATTTGACAACACTGTTTTTTGGCTTATCAGTCAACTTTTTCACCAAACACGTAATTTTTTGCTTTCGCGCGCTGAATTGTGTAATAAGTAGAAAAAGTAAGGTTTGAGTTACTTTTCTGGCTGTATTGGCTGAAGTTACTGTAGATGGTCATTTTGGCTATTTTTACATATAATTTTTTCTTTATTTTATTAATAAAATATATGTATAAAATAATTTTTTCTTAAATCAGCAGAATCAGCCAATGCAGTCACTTCAGCCAGAACTTCATAAATTTCAGCAAAATCAACCAAATTATTCTATTTTCGTGCTACCAAACGTCAAAGTTTTAATTATTTGTACGATACCTATATGCATTAAAATCCTATTTTCTGTACGCATGTGGGAATGAGATCTACCCTGTGCACATATATTTGCACTTTACGATGCAAATATACGTAGTATAAATGTATAATTAACATACTCCTTTTACTATCATATTGTTACACGAAGTATAAAACCATATCATTATTTAAAGTTTCTTATGTTTGCAATAAATGTTACTCGTACTATATATACTTTTTTCTTACAATTGGATCACGGCTATCCAACTATTTACTACTGGTATTAGTTCTAATTTTTATCTAAAAACAATTCTTTACTTGAACCAAGTTATATACATGTATTCTGTCAAAAAAAGTTATATACGAAGTATATATACTAATATACATGTATGAAAAAAAGTTATACTTGTATACATTCTTACTTCGAACCCTACAAAATCCCGAGCAAATAACATGTATCCCTGCTTAATTATTGTGCACATCATTAATTACAAGGGCTTAAAGCATGATTAATGGTGAGTATGACCCATAATCTAAAACGATGTGATATTAATTTGGTACAGTCACTGCTTATCACTCACGTTGCAATGTTTGATGTTTATTTTGTTTTGTAATGCATGATGACCTGAATATAGTTTCTAATACATTGAACTTCGCGTCATCGTAATCAGAATTAGGATAACACAAAATGACATGAATCTCCACAAATTATACCGTACGAGTCCAAATACAAAGATGTTGTCCAGTTTTCTTTTTAAATTACTCATTATATTAATGATATATAGATGCACATTTTTCACGATATATATAGCTGCCGACTGCCGTGAAAATTTAGAGGTGTTTATAAAGTGTCAAATCAAACGTAGGAATAACTATATGCATTTAAGTTTAATACGGAGTAATTAATATGTTTAAAAGTTGTTGTAGTGTAGTGCAATGGTCATTTAAATTTAAAAGTTGTACATAAGTTGTTACTAGTTGTTACTATACGTTAAAAGAATTAAGGATTAACAAAGATTTTTAGAGAGATTCATCAAAATTCCTAGAGAATATGATTTGACAGGGATATGTTTGTGAAATCTGTGCCAAAAACATTTTGGCACTAGTTAATACTTAATTGGCACGAAACCGTCACAACAAAAATATCGTTCATTAGGAACCAAGTTTGTCACCCAAAATAAAATAAGGTGAGTGACAAAGTAAATTACTCACCACCATAGTCACTAAAAGTGTATGGTGCCTTCATTTAGAGAGTGAGTATTTTACTCACCCCTCAATAAGTGAGAAAATTGGTGAGAATTTGTGAAGGTGTACCAACGCTCCCTTCCATTGTCACTTGCTTTGTCACTAAATATGATAGTGAATATTTTACTCAAATCCAAACTTGAGTGACGTGTTACTGTGTTAGTTTTTAGTTTATAATAATATTACGTAATTTAATTTCCAAATTCAAGTAACTATTAATCAATCAAACATATGAGAAGAGTAACTTAAAGACTCAAATGGTGCATAATAGTGTTAGATTTATAATACAGAGTGATACAAAGATTCTTGATACATAGAAATACGAAGAAATTAAGACGGAAAAAATTGGCATAACGAGCGATTCCCTTGCTATCATTTTCTTTAATGACCGCTCCAATAATTGTTTAATTTGAGCTTCTATGAACTTTTGATTGAATTTGTACATAAGAATATACTACGTATTTGATAAGAGTGTCCGATCCATTTGTTGATGCAAGTCTTCAGAATACACACGCTCCATTTGACATAAAAAGAAAGTGCCATATTTGGAAGTGGAGGAGCAGCTTGAAATCCATCTTCATAGATGCATGCCATATTGAAACAA